ATATGCTAGACTTTTCTCCTTTTCTGCGAATTTTTTGACAGATTAAAGCGAGTTAAAATGAACTAGTTTGTTATCATTCAAGACACGATGTCATACAAAGAGATGAAGCAAGAAAAGTACTAAGCATTAAAATAGCAGTGCTTTTCTATCTTAAAAAATAAGAACTGAAAATAACACGAGCTTGAAAGCTATTCGGGTCCCATGGCATTAGATATCCTAACGTTAGATCACGGAAAGATATGATTTGTATTTCATAGTTTATTCCCTTCAATCGAACGCCTGTTATTCACTGAGTGGAAACAAAGACCTGTTGCCAATATTTTTATAACATATTCGTCCTTTAAGGAAACACCATCACATGAAACTACTTTTATTTAAAATTTTAATAAAGTTGGATGACATTTATTATGCGCAAAATTTTCTATTTCTATCATTGCAAAATACAATACGTTAGGATGTTTCTCTGAAAATTTTTAACGAAAAGAAACTTGGCATAAATTTTGTTATGAACATGCATTTGAGAATCTTCTCTAGTAAAATTTTAACAGAAATATAAGCATGACTTAAATTCGCACCTTTACATACTTCTACATGTTTTCAAGAATGTTCAGATTATTGAGACTTGACTAAATATACTATATAATAGCAGCAAAGTACTGGATTATGAGATAAAGCGTTATCAGATGCAATCGTTTGAAAAACGTAAAGGTAGCGTTTGTCTTCCATAAGGTTTGAAGACAAGGGCTCTCGCAAGCAAATTTCCTAAAGCCTAAATTTCGGAATATTTTGAAAACAATATTTTAAAATAGAAATAAAAAGACGGAATTTCGGCGGTTTAACGCCACTTATGGCTGAACGCATGGGGGATGGAAGTAAGTTAGTTTAGCATCACTTAAGACCAGAAAGTACTTAGCACTCCTGCATCCTTCCTCATATAAAACGAGAATAAAATACTATTTTGTATATCTTGATACATAAAAGTGACAATGCCTACAGATTTACGACGCTTAATGTTACCGTGGTAAAGATTTTAAAGCTGACACAGTTCTTCGCTTGAGTGCAAGAAATGGATGAGTTTAGTTTTTAGAAAGATAAAATTTTATAAAGCAATATCTTGTCGTACTTGCGGAACTTACCTTATAGGAATTTCTTAAAGAAACTTTAGAGAAAACGCTCTTTTACAGCTAGATTCACAAATCATGCAGTCACTTATCTTTACCTCGACACAGTATCGCTTTTTAGGGAAATGGGCCTTGGAGATCAATAAAGTTACTTACCTTGAATTGCCCAAACGTTTGCCAATACATCTAACTTAATTTAGATTCATTTCCCCTCCACAAAAATATATCGAGGCATGCACTGTAGAGCAAATTTATTTCATTGCAAGAATGTAGCAAATTTAATATTGAAATAAACCCTTAGAAAACATGCAGAGTAATTAAACACTTAAATTTATATGTAAAAATCCAAAACCGTTTTCGAGTAAGGAACTCTAGGAGAACAAAATTAGGAACTCTAGGAAAAACTCTAGGAGTAAAATAATTTGCTCTATTCCGATGCGTGATATTACAGAATCCGAGTTTTTTTATACATTAGATGCACATGCAAATTATTGCACAATATGCACATTCAATTTATTGCACAATAAGCACATTCAATTTATTGCAAATGACAACTTCTTCATTTTTTCACTTACACGTACATAAAGAAATGAAAGTCTAATATCCTTATAAGTACCCACAAAGTTGATAGATAATTAAAGAACTGATTTATACTAAAAGTTAATAAAGATACCGCAGTACACTAACAAGCAGATGATTAGATTTTGAAACTCGCAGGAAAAAAGAAAAGCGTAAGAGACAACGTTACCTCATAAGTAGTTAGCACAGCAAGCTACCGTCTTCTTCTTGGATAAAGGAAATTTTTTATGGAAGACTCCTGGCAAGAAAATGACTAATATTTAGATTATTCTTGAAGAAACCACATGAAATTTACAGCGGAGAACTCATTTTACTGAGAATTCAAGCCTCTGATTCTGTTCACTTGAACGACATAAACACACATATAAAAATATAGTACGTAAACTATGATAAATTTACCACCACCCCGTCGACAAGGTAGTAGGTCAGCCGGCGACCGTCGCCTTGAACTCTGGTACGGGTCCCGGAGAAGACATAGATGCTTGCAAGTGTATATTACCCTTGTGGCACGGGTGCACTTAAAATACTGTCGAGCTGAATGTACTTTCGAAAGATCGATGGTAACGGAAGAAGGGAGAAGAACTTTGGAACCGTCCTCCATCAAAATTGAAACGAAGATGAGCAAAAGTCGAACTGTCATATATAAGATCCCGAAAGCTTCCGCCATCTATAGGTGACTAGTACCTCCCGGTCATAATGAGGCCAAGAGATAATAATTGGACCTGGTTGAGATCTTTTTAAAACGATAATAGTAAATATATGTGCATGTTGGAAAATGCAAGTCAAATAGATTGGAATCAAAATTACTAAAATATGACAGGCTGTTCTTTCATTATATAATAATAGAATAGAATAGAAGAATGTTTTCTTTCAGCTTTAGTGATTGATACCAAAAATCATTTAAACCTCTTTAGTCACCAGTGACCCATTATCTCATTATAAATATTCCATGAAGCATAAATATAGTAGATAAAATATTTCTAATGCAAATTTGTTAATTTCAGAGTTTTAAAGCAATAAGTATAAACTCAAGCGGATTTTTTATTTCAAATTTAAAAGCTTAATTTAGCCTTGACACGAAAAACTATTCTGTCACAACTGTAAACTAATTACTTCTAAACAGAGATACAACCACTAAGCGTAAATAAATTAACCCTAATTACCACTAAAATAGTGATAAAGAAGTTAGCTCTCTCAGATTTTTGGTTCATTTAATTGCCTTCCTTAGGTTCAATATTTATTAGCAGAAAATTTTGTACGAGTATGTGCAGGCAAATAAATACGCTTGGAGTCCTGATAACATTATCTAGGGCTCTATTTAATTTTTTTACTTAGAGTTTTAAGTACTACTAAACAAAGAATACTACAACAAACTGATTTACTATGATGGATTACAACAGTCTGCGAGGATAAATACTCTATTTTATATCTGATCTCTTTGAAATCATTCTGCACATGGAACTGCGAGCACGTATTTTTAAATAAAAATTTTTATGTATGCTTTCAGTTAAAAGTTTATCTTGAGTTTATTTGACTGAATTCGTTGAGATTTAATCCACGAAAAACTTCAAAAAGCCCATGCAATGCTAAGTTAAGGTTTGAAATTGAGGTACGCTTAATTCCTCTAAAAATGCTAGGAAGTAATAAAGAAGTAATATATGGATGCATATTCTGTGTTCAGATATTTACAAGCCTTATGCGAAAGAAAGAATTAACTATTTGCATTTAAGTAGACGACTCTCAGTAGTCACTCCACATATCGCGGCACATCATGTGGTGACTGTGAGAGGCGAAATGAAGATTAATTATTTTTATCACCATCTTTTATTAATGGATTTTAATCTTGGATGACTAAAGCCTTTCTAAAATTTGAGTTCCTTAAGCGATACTGAACGATTTCTGCTTGTCCACCTACACAAACTCATAAAAATAAAATAAAACAAACTTTACATGCTATTTTCCATTTACATTATTGCGCAATAATAAACGATGCACTTTATTAGCGAGAAAATATGTATTTTAATATTCCCATTTGCCGATATGTAATTTATACGAAAAAATGCACAGATTACTGGAAAATTAACGACGCTTTCCCAATAACGTCATAATCCTTTTCTCGACTGTTTAGTTTCGACTGCAAATATAAATCACAATAATTACTCCTTCATTTATGATAACAGCATCAATGAATACAATCTCCTTGAAGTTTCTTCATGGTTAACTTCTAATTTTATTTCGAATTTTTCCTACATTTATTTTCCTGTGATAGATAGGACGAAGTCTAATAAAAAACATCTAAAAAAATCTTTAATATTATCTCACAATCGCCATACGAATCGCTGCAATATAATAACTCACTTGCTTACAAGGAAAATTATCTAGCTTCCCGATGATAATCGTCCCGAATTTTCAGGAATGATGAAGCATGTGAACAGAATAGCAGGTAAAAATGGTAGCATTTTGATATCGCCCTGTAACCTCTAGAACAGGACGTGTGAAGTGGCACGCACCTATAGTATTTGCAGTTACAGATGAGCAAGTATAATGTACCTGTGAGTAACGAGCTCGTTGTATGATAAGGAGCATTCCTGGCAGGTAGCATATGGTTATCTTACGGCAGTGACAAATTTTTAAGCTAAGCGATATGGTGCACAGGACTGTCATATTCGACTATTAACACGTTGCGTTGCGGAGTTAAAAGTATATACTGTATGATTAGAAAAATTGCTTGCAATCTTAATCCTGTGGTATAAACATAAGTGATGTAAGGGAACGCAGAAGCACCCAACAGACATTGACATAGTACAACTACAAGCAACAACATACAAGACGGTCATTACCATCCTGCACGCACCAACTTTCTCGCATACCTGTCTAGTCCTACTACATTACCATGAAACAGAATGACGTATATGTACAACATAAGAAACTTATGTACGGTATATGATTTCACTGGGGGCAGTGGTCTCAAACTCCAAACATACATTACACTCCCAATGCATGGCTGCAAGTATTGCAAATACATGACAATTTATATGCTTAGTTCTAGAGGTTGGGGCGATTGCGAAATGCTACACTTTGCACCTGTTCGCATTCTTGTTTATCCCTGAAAGTTTCGTGGCGACTGTCGTAGTAAACTTCGATAGCTTTCCTTATGAATGTCGTCTCTCTATCTCCAGCGGTTAAATACTAGAGCATCTAAAATCAGTTAGATACCGAAACTCCCGAGTGACTACAATGATGTGATATTTCTGTCTTTATTTTTAGCAAACAGACACAGACGTAAAACAAGCAACTTACCATCAGCCCCGTGCTCACAGAGATGCCGCGTCCACAGTAGGTGTTGGGCACTATGTCGCCGTAGCCGACTGATAGGAAAGTAATGGCCGTCAACCACATAGTATTAAGTAAGTTGGCGTGCTCCTCGTCATGATATCTGAAAAACAATTTGCAACGATTTCAGTTATTGTAGAAAAGTATTTCCAATTGCAATCAGTTAATGAAAAATTCGGGGAAGGACTAGTAAAAACAAAAAGGACTTTTATTCCTGATGAGCTATACTTCTTTTTAAAATATGCTAAACTCTAATAATTAATTAATTTAATTAACTACGAAGAAATTGAATTTTTCAGTTTATTGAACTCTCTCCATAAATCCATTGTATGGGAATAAATACACCACCCCTGTTTCAAAATGCTACTTTTAACTCTATTCATACTGATCAAATTTTAGCTTAGCATTATGAAAAATATTTCATAATTATGTTTCGTGAAACTCAAGCGGAAGATTCATTAAAAACTGAAGCCATTCTAACACGTAAGAGTAGTTAACTAAGATTTATAGCTTACAGTTGCATTTTCGAATTTTCTTTGTTTTTTTGCCTGTAATCTCGAAATTAGCCGTGCTGAGATCGGTACAGTAGATTACTATGCTCGCTGCTGCATTGTTGAACCTGGGTTCTAGTCCTGAAGGTTTGATATTTGTAAGTGCATAGTGTCCGTGTGGCATAAGGGCACTTAAAATACACGACGAACCGAAGCTCTGTCGAGTGGATTGGCTACAAAGGACGATGAGTGGGTGTTCTGAAACCGGGGCCCCGGAGTATTCTTCTTCAAATCTAGGATAGCACTGGACAATGTCGTGATGTTACCCAGTGGCAGATCGTGGGTTAGTTAAATGGAGGTTCACAAAATAAATCTTTTGATAATGAAATATGCAGATACGACGTAACTTACAAGTTAAAATACATTTGTGTTTTCACGATTTACAGGAAATCAATGCAAACTAAAGAAAACAAGTTCTCATAGGTAAGAAAATTATGACATTTTATTTTTTTTCAATGGAAATTATTGCTTATAGTATGTATTTATGTATTTGAACGTTTGTACTGTAATATTTGGTTTGGTAATGCTAAACATTCCAGAAACCCTAAAAGATCTGAAACTAATGATTGCTGTGTCTGAAACAATGACAAAGTTGTGAAAAGGTTAAAATAACCTTTTTATTTAAACAGAATTTAGGACACAGCCGCACTCTCTTGTGTTAAAGCCAATGAAAGGCACAATTCGCGGTGATGCAACCAAATAGAACAGTCAAAATTAAATCAATGAGCAGTAGTCAAGGACTACACAATTAAATACTACTAGAAGCTGGCTCACTACTCTACTGCCGGCAGCGAAAGAACATAAGCCGAATAATTACAACTATCAGATCTAGCAAACCAAAAGTTCAAATACTGGCTAGTCATTTAAATTCTGGCAAGGAATATGGAAAGGAAAAGTTATAGTAAAGACTGAAATTGTAAATACATGATTAATTAACATAAAATTCTTTACACGTTGATTACAAAATAGTCAAGCCTAATTTTTGCAAATTAAATCCACTCGACTTTTTTTTTTGTCCAGGCATTATACTCGTACATTTTCGTTGAATTTAGGTAATTTATCATGCTTTTTTCAGTTGAGAACTTGGTTTGAGCGCTTGGTCTGTCCTCGCAAACAGTTCCTCTTTAAAAATGTCTTAATTCGTTTTAGAGTTGAGAAGCATCTTTCATCTTCAGCAATAGTCATTGAAATAGTAACAGTAAATTAACAATAGTTTGTAGGTCTCCGAAAACGTATTCTGTAAGTTATTTTCTATAATAAATTGTAGAAGACTAATGGCACAAGTCATATTTCTGAAATCTGATTTTCTGTAAATTACTTTCCTAGTTCAGATTTCAGACGATACTTTTATAATGGTATAAAGATCAGTTTGGTCAAATTTCTGAACTGGAAAATTTTTCTCATATTTCGGGAATGTTTGAGCTTCGAAGAGAGAAACAACAGAGTAGTGAGGAATAAAACAATATTTCTCTTTTATTTGTTTCGGGATAATATCACATACATTCTGACACAGTTCTATTTATATGAACGTTTTCACTTTTCTTTTTTCTTGAAGCTTCATTTGATTCCGATATCTACTATGAGACTGTGTTCATTTTATTCCTTTCTTCCTCTAATGACTGCTGGAAAACGTTTACTTGCTTTCTAATGAGTGCTACATCAGTTAGTGCTTTCTGAAGCTGGTTGTATAACATACATGACATGTGGCATAATATTGTGAAACACTGTAAGCTAAAATATGAATTTCGAGTCTTCTAAACGTGTGGCGAATAGCCCCTGCTTGATTTATTGCCACAGCTTGTTAATATATTGTATTTTTTCCCATGCATTCAATCAACTGTTCCCTATATTCATACCCCGTATTGATAGTTCGTTTCTTAAAATTCCATCTACTAGCTGGACCATTCGTTGATTCTGACTGATGCGTTGCCCAACAAAGAGACTGAGATGGTGTGCGTAGCAATGTACAAACTGTGCATTCTTGTAGGTAGATAAATAAAAGCTTAAACACCATTGTGATGACCACTCAGTACGCTTGCACTTTCATAGCCCTAAAATATTAATTTTTCGGGTTTGCCCACTACGTTTTCCAAATTTGCTTGGATACATTCAACCATAGATTTTGCATCATGCCATGTGGCTTCGTGAATACCCAGAATATCTCAACCGGATGTCCGTTAGGTAAAATGCGACGAAAAATGACAACCAATTGGGAAGTGGATGACACATCAGTAGTTTTTATTTGTTGTTGCTTTTGAGATCTCACTTTTGATGTGTTTTTGACAAATAGCGAGCATGCAGTCTAATAAATCACTTTGAATTTCCTTTGATGTTCCTTGAAAAACATTGGCATTAGTGAGACGATGTTTAAAAGATGAAGCAAGTTCTGCCGAGAAGTTGATAAGACTCCTGAAAACTCCTGGATTTAACGAATCCTGGCGCATCCTTGAAGTACAAGCTTAAATACACTGCGAAACAGAAAGCAATCAATAATTTTTGTTAGTGCCTACCAATTTTTGGAAAACCTCTCATTGTGCCTTTTAACATTTCAACGAAATGCACTGTTGAACCGTTGTTGAATATCCGCCTTTCCTAGAATTTAATTTGCTAAGATGGTGTTTAAATGTGATTGTGAATATTCCTGCTCTTTTATTTTCTGAGTTAGATGTGATAAATTAGCAACACTTAACTCACCTAACTTGAAACACCATTCTGCTTTGCAAACAGGAGGCATGGAAAACAAAACAGCTTGTTTGTTGATTCGCACCCACAAACCCATGAACATTTCTCATATAAATCAGATATGAATTCCCTTTGGAAATCTCCAGTCTTACATTTCGTCACTTGCATAAAGTTTATCGAAGGTACCTGGCTTGAGTAATTTCATTTCAGTTTTTCCTACCAAAGGCAATACTGAAAAGCGTAATTGCTTTAGTTACGAAAACTGATTTAATAAGTGCCATGTTATCTGTTTACACTAGTTCGAAAAAATATTTATCCCAAAATAATAACAATAAAAAAAACTAAGAAGAAAACAGAAAAATGATTTAACTAACCGAATCTAGCAAACCAATGGAGAATTCCGAGGAGATAACTGCGAACAAAGCGAGCTCCCGCGCACTTTAGGTCCCAATCACACTATGTTTCGGTACACGCGGGACTTGACGTCGAAAGGGACAATTCTCAGAACCCGCACAATTCCAGAAAACACGTAGATAGGTTACCATTCTCACTTACTACAAAGACTTGAACGCCAAACAGTAATCGATTATCGCTCAAATCGGGATTACGTGATCCTTCAGAAGCAGAACTTTCGTCTGATTGGTTGTCTCTACCCGGGACCCGAGACATTCTCGGTGAGGTTTGGAAAACTCCCGCGTAGCCGCAACATTGCTTCTGTAGTTAGGCGGGACTTCGCTTCTAGGAATCCTCCCGTTTAAACCAGTGCTACCAGAATCTCGTTTCTCAGAAAAGTCCCGTGTAGCAGGGACTGTAGCCATGTGTAATGTGCAAATGGAATGATATCAGCGGTGCGTTTTACCTTCGAGCTGAAACTGGTTTTCTTCGATCGCACGTGCGATTGAGGAAAAACTAAGTTCTCTGTGTTATAGTAACCTACAAAACAGTACGTTAGCTGCGTTTTAGCGTATTTTAAAAAGTCAGGGCGAGAGAAAAACTCATGCTGGAAACTGACAAGTATCAAAGTGTATTTAATATCATTTTATCTAATTTGTTAATATATTTATTTCTACGTATTTTTGTGCTTCACGTGCTCATGTGCACAAACAGAGGAGCCGCCACTGAGACCTATGAGGTAGACATTTCGCAGATATTTTCTGATGTTAATGTCAGAGAAAAGAGATAAAGAGAAAAAGAGATAAGTCACTACAAGAAATAAGTATTACGGATGATATGATATAACTAGTGTACCTAACAGAGAACTTAATGCCAATTACCTGTTAACAGATTTACACTTTCTACTAAGCTGAAAGTTACATTAAAATGTTTATTTAATTTAAATATGCCAAAGCACACGGGCTATCTGCCAAAGGAAGAATCTGCCTTCCCGGAGAATTTTGTGAGGAAAATTAGCTTATAATTTATTCTAGGATGGGGAAAAATCACACGCTAAATAATAAATTCTGTTTTATATGTTTGTAACAAATATATATGTATATATATATACATTTCAAAATATGAGATACTGTGTCATAATAATTTATATAGAGATTTATAGATTTCAAACTACATGATACCTTGGAACCTTTTTTTCTTTTGGCAAATTATGGCAAAGCACAGGAGAGCAAATAGCCTAAAAGGGAGGGTGCCTTCATGGAGGACTTTTTAAGAGAACTGGCTCATATTCACGCTACACATAGAAGAAACTCCGAAAACGTCCATGCAGGCAGCCCGTTCGCCTGGAATCGAACCCAGGTTGAACGTAATATGCTAGTCGTTATCAGAGATAACCAGTGAAGTTTTTCGTTGAGTGCAACTCTCAAAATTGAATAGGTATCGAATTACACATGGCTTCTTACTTTCCAGATAATTT